CAGAGTAGGCAGTAGGAGCAAATGTCTGATAGGGCTTTCCCAGTCCAAGCCCTCTAACCTGGAGCAGGGATACTGAACTGGAGGTGGAGGAGCTGCTGAGTGCCTTAATTAAGCAGACACACACCAAATCTGATTTAACTGAGCCTGCTGTCACCCTGGTCCCTTGTGTATACTGTGTGTCTTCTCTTATCTTTGTTCCCACCCCATGCTCTCCAACTCCACCCTTCCCTAGCTCTCTCCTCATGTCTAGGCAATTCCTATTCACTTAAACACCCATTTTTTGCCCTGATTTCACTTCTTGAACTTACCAATGGATAATAACTTGATATTCCATGACTCTTTGCTTGAATTTTCCATTGTGTCTCTCCCCACTTCTCCCAATCTCCATTTTGCCAGCTTATGTGATCCTTTCTCTGGCTTATTTGATCCTTTCTCCGGAAGACTGATTTTTGATTCCACAGAAGGCCCCACTGCTTAGCAAGAAATACCAGCCTGATTGGTGCAAATTGTTGCCTCTAAAATTGTACCTTTCTTTCCTTGTCAGCCCTTATGTGGAGCCCTGTTCTGCATAAGGGACAGGGTGTAGACCCAACAGAGGCAGCCCCTTCACCAGGCCTGGAGAAGGAGAGGAAGATGGCATCACTGTGAGGAGGAAGAAACACCCACTGACATGAGCCTCACTGCTCCATTTGAGAAAGATCCTGGATGGCAGGAAAGGCAGTGCTGCAGAGAACAAACTGATGCTTGTAGGAGGAAGGGGGCGGTTGTGAAGATCTGGACAAACTGAAAAAAAAGTAACTAAATGACAAAACCACTCTTGGAAATTTTTGAGCTGATTAATGAAAGATATCTCAAACTTCTATGTCAAATGAACAATCCTATCAGCTATCTTTGTTTCTATCTCTCTCATTCTTTAGCTCTCAGTCTTTCCATATGCCCCTTTCTTCCTGTTTCTGTGTTTGGGTCTTTCTGATTATCCTTTTTATTTATCCATTTGTCTTGCCATTTCCACATGTACCATCCAAGTAATGTAGTGAATATCATTTCAATTTCTTTTTGATCTACTTATTTGCTAATCCAATGATGTCACAAGTACCTGATTCTGAATTATCAATTGTAGTTTAACCTTTCCACAAATGAAAGGAGAGTCTCTTTAATGTAAGCCTGATTTCCAATCTAATAACTAAAAAGCAATATCATGCTTAAATCGACTCTCCGTAATCCTCCAAATGAGGTAGAGAGATTAGAGAGAACAGGAATTAATAGATCATGGATATTGAATGAGTAAAATGTTCTTTAATTTAATTCATACTTCAGCTCTGGTGGATTCTGATAGTTTAGGAATGGAAAAGTACAAAGGGTGAAAACATGACTGAAAACAGTTTTGAAGTTTAACATCGTAGAGGCAAATGGAAAAAAAAAAAAAGTAATGTGTTGAGTGACAGCATACATACCAGAGTAAAGCAAAGATTAACATTAAAACAAAAAACTAACATATTGGGCGCCTGGGTGGCTCAGTCGTTGGGCGTCTGCCTTCGGCTCGGGTCATGGTCCCGGGGTCCTGGGATCGAGTCCCGAATCGGGCTCCCTGCTCCGCGGGAAGCCTGCTTCTCCCTCTCCCACTCCCCCTGCTTGTGTTCCCTCTCTCGCTGTCTCTGTCAAATAAAATCTTTAAAAAAAAAAAAAACAAAAAACTAACATATTAAACATTAAGCTGATTTCAGCCCAGAATATGATTACAAATAAGATACATATGGCAAACTACATCATCCTTAATAAAGATTTCAGATGTTAGAAAGGAAAAAAAAAAATTCAGAGAAAGACACAATGCTGATATTTAACAATGAGATGTAGATTTCACACTCAGTAGCATTTCCTCCTTAGCTATGCTAGCTTCACATTATACCGGTGGAAACTAAACTGGTAAGTATTTCTGCTTCTGCAGTTGCTCCAGAATAAAAATTATTGTATTATCCAAATTTGAACCAAGTTCTGGTAAAATATTAATGATTTTAACACCAATTTTGTAATTAGTATATTGCACTTTATGATTTAATATAGTATGTGGAATTTCTGTGGGCTTTCAAATCGAATTTATATCAGAAATAAATCATAATACTAACTTATCATCCAACTATCTGTGGGATACATTATTGGTTAGTTTGGTCTGAAGTTGAGCTTTTCTGAGAATGAGAATGTCCTTTTCTGAAGTATAAACAACCTTCAATTTTCTTTGTTAGTGAGACTTCAAGTATTTCCATGTGTTAGTCTTACCACCATGTACTGGAAGAAACAAAAGGAAGGAGAAAAAAAAAAATTGGTCATGAATTTGGAACCAGTTGGATGCGGACTCAAAATTTAGCTGTGTTGGGATGCCGGGGTGGCTCACTCATTGGGCATCTGCCTTGGGCTCAGGTCATGATCCCAGCGTCCTGCGATGGAGCCCCACATTGGGCTCCCTGCCACGGGAGGCCTGCTTCTCCCTCTCCTACTCCCCGTTTGTGTTCCCTCTCTCGCTGTGTCTCTCTCTCTCTGTCAAATAAGTGAATAAAATATTTAAAAAAAAATTTAGGAGTGCCTGGATGGCTCAGATGGTTAAATGTCTGCCTTCGGCTCGGGCCATGATCTCAGGGTCCTGGGATCGAGCCCCACATCAGGCTCCTGGCTCAGCGGGGAGCCTGCTTCTCCCTCTCCCTCTGCCTCTCACCCTGCTCATTCTCTCTTTCTCTCTCTCTGTATCTCTGTGTCCCAAATGAATAAATAAAATCTTTAAAAAAAATAAAAAATAAAAAATAAAAAAAATATTTGTGTCAACTGATATTAGGCAATGCTTGTCAATTGACTTCTTCTGAGCTGCACTGTCCTCATGATAAATTCAAGATATCAAAACCATAATGCCTATATTGTTGCTTATGTTATTTAAATAAGACCATACAAGCATACATAAAGCACAAAGCTTCATGTCTACTGTTTGAGTTGATTATTAATGCATATAAATTATTATCTCATTCACCCTAGATGTTTCAAATTTGAATTCTATTTACTAAGTCTTATTTGCCAAGAAAGAAGTTTTTGTTCCTTCTTTTCAGTGGTACTAATTTACAGATTATTACACAAACAAAGTAATGTGAGATAGTATCCTTCCTATCCTTTTCCAGGACATCAATAAAGCAACTAGATGAATGAGTGGGGGTGGGGTGGCAAGTAGCAGGAAAAGAACTCTACAAATATCATTGTCATCAAAAGTGGAAGATATTACAATTTATAGACTGTAAAAACATTTAGTGACTACCAAAACCTGCTGGGATTGTGTGGATCTACAAGGGAGGATTGTACTGAAGTGTGTGTTGTCTGTTGTGATGGTAGATTTCACAGTAAGCCAGCAACATAATGTACAAAAGAGAAAGTCACTCTTCTCAGGATGAAGTCAAACATAGTAGAGATAAGGCAACATTCATGAGAGAGGAAATACATGGAACAAAACCAAACAAAACTCCAAAAAGTAGAGTAGAAACATGGCCTAGGGGTTACAGATTTCAGAAGATGTCAATATGCCTACAGTTCCTTGAGATGAAGACTCACTTCACTAGTATCTTGCATGCAACAGCGAGAGGGAGTACCTGTATGGGCAGGCATGGTTGCAGAGGCCCTTTCGGAGCACATTTGGTTAGAGAAGCAGAGGAGAAAGGACTAACCAAAAAGTAAAGAAAGCTATTTTGCTTTCAGAGAAGCCACCCACCCTTAGAAACAATGAGGAAGAAAGTGATGGGTATCAGAGTTGGGGTAGGATCCACGGCAGTATGAAATGCAGAGATCTTTGGATGTAGCTAATAATCTATGATATTCCTAAGGATGAGTGAACGATTTCATTATTTGACTTACAAAGAAGATCGGGAAGTGGCAAAAAGAATGATATTCTCAGCCACCCTGATAAAATATATATATACATACATATATATATATATATATATGTATAATATATAAAAAGAACATGTGTTCTCTGAGGTCCATTGTAAAAGGAGATCTAGTCTATTTGCTCTTTGGGAAAAGAGCCACTAGTGGGAGGATCTTGTCCTGGAATTTTATGATTGTATTGTTATTTATGGATCAATGAATAAATAAATAAATGAAGATATTAAGGAAGAAAAACGTGCCTGGACCAATGATGAGTACCATGGGGTATCTGAAACAGGAGTTTTGATTAAACCCATATGCAACTCTGAGGTCCATTACAAAGAGACACGTAGTTATTCCCTCTGTGGGAAAGGAGCACGTGGTACCTTGTGCTTGGGCTATCGTGGTTCTTAGTGATGGACTGTATTTTATTATAAAATTGACCCACAAATAAAAAAAAATGTGTCAGTGAATGAAAAAAGGAGGACAATTTTACAATTATTATTAAGGAATGTAATGCAACATGGCGTAGTATTATTAAAATTTGGCTGAAACTCTGACTTCTAATAAATGAATAGTAAATGAAAGGGGTATATGGTTATTTGTACATGATACTCAGGAGTGTTTGTTGGTGGTGGGTTGCTGACTGATTCTTTTATTAAGGAAATGGCAACACATTTACTCTGTAATAGTTGGTTAAATGACTGCATAATTGAGAGCCAAGCAGAGACCAATGATGAGAATGATTTATATGACAACACTCATCATTAATCCAATCTTTTTTAAAACTAACTTTTATTAAAACAATAAAAAAGAAGCAAGTCTTTTATTGATGGTAATGACTATGGTCACACATAAATTTTGTTCAGTGTTTTTGTCCAGTGGTTAAGATCACAGATATTAGTGTATTTGTATAAGAGAAAGAAAGTATAATTTTATATATTAATCTATTTTTAGAAAGTCAGCAAACCATGGACCAATTAGCAACACATGTTTAAATATGAGGATTTTGATTCATCGTAGTTTTCCAATGACAAGTATTCTAAGAAAAATTTTAGGCTCTTCCATTTTTTGAAAGGTGCATCTGCACTTTTCCAAATTATTGTAATTGGTTCTGGGTTGGTGTTTAACCATTTTGAGTTTTCTTTAGAAAGATGGTATTATTATTCCCTGAATAATAAAATCAACCAGTAAGTGAGTGAATCCATAAATCCATAAATATGTGTAGTGGAGGATTGGGAGATTGTACCAGGAAACAAATAAAGTATGTTAAATTCTACACAAATAAGTCCAATAAAAAGGTGATCATGGCTCCCCCTACATAGGTAGCAAATAAAGTCAGACGTCTCTAATTGGTAATTTTTATTTTATTTTGTGTTGAGCAAGGAATTCAATAGTATTCCTATTATTTAGTAGAAATTTAATTAAGTAAGAGATACCATCCTTGGGAAGATGATGAGAATGTGATATGAAATAGAGCTTCTGGTTAACTAGTCCTCTTCACAAATTTCGTAAGTTTAAAAAAGAGAGTTCTGCTTTCACTGTGTTTGCAAATTGTCTTCCCTCCCCCGTTTTCCCTTTGTTTGTAGAATGAACACAAAGCTGATTTAATCATTCTGTAATCCTCAAGACCTGGATGTTAATTCTGGGACTAAGAAGTGTAGAAACTGATGTAAGTAGTATCAATGTTTGTGTTCAAGGCTTACATGGGGGTTATTTATGGGAGCCCACTAAATTAGTTCAATGAAATAAGTAGTTAAATAATATATGAAATTAAGGAATGCCAATCCTGAACCCCATGATTGGAATGTGTCACGAATTAAAATTTATATTTACTTTGACTCCTCTCAGCTAAGGACCATTACTAACGTGATGGAGGGCATTTCACACATTCTCAAAGCAGTCTATCTTCCCATTTAATATTCTTGCCACATTTGCTTAATACATTCCTTCACTGATAAAGATCTCAATTATTTTTTTTAAAAGATTTTATTTATTTATTTGAGAGAGAATGAGAGAGAGCACATGAGAGGGGTTAGGGTCAGAGGGAGAAGCAGACTCCCTGCCGAGCAGGGAGCCCGATGCGGGACTCGATCCTGGGACTCCAGGACCATGACCTGAGCCGAAGGCAGTCGCTTAACCAACTGAGCCACCTAGGCGCCCAAAATCTCAATTATTAACGCTTTGAGGCTGGAAGACCTTGGAAGATGGCAGATGTCAGTTTTGTCCCTTGTGGGTTAAGATGAGAGGCCTGTGGTTGTCAATGACACCAGCTTTCACATATGGGCAAGTCCAGTGAAAATGAGCAGGGGGACACCACTCATAAGTAAGGGACTGATATGAAGCAAGCTTGCTGATTAATTCCTATGAGTAAAACAGAGGTTCATTGTGAAAAGTGAGGGACTATTTGCTCCCCATGAATGGGGGCAATGAGCAGATCTTGGTTGTCTTTCAGGTTTTTGTTCTCAGTTTTGTGTCATTAAAGGTGATTGATTGTAGAACTGTTAACCATGAATCTGTGAATGAATGAATCCATTCAAAAGGCGTAAGTGAATGAAGACCTAGCAAGCTGTGCCTGGATCAATGATGAGTATTTGGTGGAGGTATCTGAATCAACACCTTTGATGAAGCCCTCTGTGTAACTCTGAGGTCCAATTCGGAGAAGAAACCAGTCAATATTCTCTGTAGAAATTAGCTAATAGTAGAAGTTAGGAAAATTCAATAAACTTGCCCCAGGCTTTTGTGGTTCATGGATATGGATTGTATTATTTCAAGTCAATCAATGCGTGAATAAAGAAAGAAATGAATACATGAAACACTAAAAGCCTCCTCATGGGACAATTAGCAGAGTGCAGTAAACACTATTAATATCAATACAATCCTGAAGGAAAATGGAAAGGCTTACTGTGTAATCCCCTTTTATATGGAACATATTAGTGTCTGCAGCTAAGAGGCAGTGTTTGGAGTTTTTGTAGTTTGCTGGGGGGATTTTTAAACTAAGAAAAAGGAAAGTGTTTGCCTCAGTCAATAATCTGTTAGATAAGCATCCCCTTAATAGGTGTTGATACAGGTAGATATTTGTAAACATTATAGATCTTTATGTTGGGCTAAGGTGGTGGACTTAATAGTATTTATTATATTTTTTATCACTAAGAATTCCATACTGGATTAATAAAGAACTGCATGTTTGAGCCAAAGTTCTTATTGGTATCTAGTTCTGTCTGATTAACAGCCATTAAAAAATTCTAAATGTAGTCTATATCTGCTTTTTCCTACCTAGAGTGAACAATAGCACTGCTGACTCAATCATTTAATAAGAGTTATTATAGTCAGCCAGGAGCATGAAGACTAATATAAGTAAGTCCCTTAGTTCACATTCTTTGTTTGGATGGCTTGATCATGGGTCTTATCTGAAGAATTTCAAAGTAAATAATCGTGTACTACACACACCATAAATAAAACACTTCAAGTGTGGACCGATGATGGGAATGTGTTATAAACCAAAAATTATGTTTAATCTAAATCAGTACAATAGAGGTAATTTTAAAAGAAGATAGAAGTTATTTAATTTATTTTCAGAGCAGTTTAATATTCTTTATTTTTTACCATGGTTGATTTAAGCATTCCCATATGGGTAGAGCTAGCCTATCGATAGCTCTTTCGGGGCAGCCCAGAAGTGATTGAAGATGGTGGTTTCATTAGTTTTCATTGAACCATCTTTGACGTATGGACAAATTAAATAAGAAAGGGCCACACAGGAAGCAGTGCTAAATGTGGGTTTGATACAAAGCAGGGAGCTTGATCCATCTGCATGTGCAGCTTTGAACACCATTACAAAAAAGATGAATTTATTAGCGCTTTGGGAGAAGAGCCTAAAATTCAAGGATCTCGTTTTTGGAATTTCGTGATTGTATTATTATTTGTGAATTGGAATATTAATCAATAAACAAAAAAAAATTTCCTAGTATGGACCAATGATGAATGTCATGGGGTTTCTGAAACAAGAATTTTGATTAAACCCATCTGCAACTGAGGTCCATTACAAAGAAACACCTCATTATTCTCTTTGTGGGAAATGAGCCTACAGCATCTTATTCGTGGGCTTTTGTGGTTTGGGGTATGAATTGCATTATTATAATATAATTAGCCCATGAATAAAGAAATATATCAATGAATAAAGAATAAGAGAGATATACATGCATTACTTTTACGGCATATAATGAAACGTGGGTAGTTATTAAAACAATTTTGGGATATTTAGTCCCAATAAATTAGTAGTCAAGGTTTTTATCAGTTTGGTAAGGGGCATATGGTCAACTGCGCATAAGAGTCAGTGTTTTGCTTTGTGTTGAGGCACATTGCCAATTGATCATTTTATTAAGGAAAGGGAAATATATTTACATAAGTAGTTGATTGAATAAACTATGTAATTGAGAGGGAGAGCATGGAGCAATGATGATGTTTTATACAACCACACTCATGATTAATGCAATCTTTTTATGCGGTTTTATGTAAGCAAACAAATATTAAAGAATCAGTTTGCTATTCTTCTGGGTAATGACATAAGGACAAATGTAAATATTATTCAAAGTACTTATCCAGTGTGAGTGGGCTGACATATATTGAAGTATAATTATAAGTGAGCAAATGTATTTGCATTTGTAGCAGTTTTTTAAAAAGTCAGCCAACAATGCACAAAAGGAAAGCATGCAGTTGGATGTAAAGATCATGATGTATCATGTTTTATACAGTTGATGTCCATAGGAATTCAAAGAGCTCTAGGCCTTTCTAACGGTGCACATAGACATTTATAAATAATAAGTATTTTGCTTCTCTTTTGATGGTTGTTTAATTTTTGGAATTCTTTTAGAAAAATGAAGGGATGGCCGTATTATCCCAGGAGTAATTAAATAGAACAATTAGTGAGTGAATTAATAAATATATTAAGTAGGGTCAGGCTTGGATCCCTGGTGAGATTGTGCCTTGAATTGAATCTCCCAGGTATCCAATTCTGCACAAATAAAGTTCAACTAAAAAGATGATCCTGGCTTTTACCTACATGGGGAGCAGGTCCAGACAGATATTCCTAATAATTATAATTATTTTTCTTCTGTTTAGTCCTAGGTTCAGTGTGTTCATTCTTTTATTTAAAATAAAAAATCTCACAAATTAGTAAATATGAAGTAGAACTCTCTTCCAAATGTTTAGAAAATTATGGAAATTTAGGTTTATGGTTGACTTTTGATCATTTAACATAGTTAAATATAGACTGATTCTTTTTAAAGTTTGCCTTTTACTCCTCAGAATGAGCACAATCTACTAGATTTGATTATTATCTCATGGTGAAGATCTTGCCTTTTATCTCTTTGGGTAAAGAGAGAAGAGATCAATGTAAGCAATAATCAATGTTCATGTATTGCTTGGGGGCTTGATCATGGGTATTCACTGAGATGTTTGGAAAGAATAAATGGCTGCATACATGAGCAAATTCAAAGGTGGTCATACGTTGACCAATGATTAAAATATGTTATGAATTTAGAATTATGATTAATCCATTTCAGCATTAGTAAATTTACTGAGATGAAGGATGAAAGCCATTTCAATAATTTTCAAAACACTTTTATACTCCATTTTACTTTTGTTCCACAGTTGATTTAAATACTTCTCCGTTGGTTGATACTATTATAGACTATGAACCCACTGAGGGGAGAACATAAGAAAATGGGAAATTTTGCCTTTTTCTTACTCATGGTGCAAAATGGTAGTTCACTGTACCATCTTTAAAACATAGATGTTAAATGAAAGAGCCCAAGCAGGGACCAATGACTAATAGAATTGAGATGATGCAAGGAAATGGATTAATTCATTTTGGCAATGCTGAGGTGGATTGCACAGAGAGAGCTAGTTCTGTAGCTCTGTAGGAAGTCAACTTTCATGGACATATTCCTATCTTCAAGGACCTTCATTTTATTTTCCTAATTCATGCACACTGAGTGTATTATTAATGAATCGATGAATAAGTCAGAACAATATATTAAATGAAGGCACAGAATACCAAGTCTGGATCAATGATGAGTGTGCGTGGGGCATCTGAATAAAATTTTTGATTAAACCCAGTCTGTAACTCTGAGGTCCATTGCATCTATGGGAAATGTGCTTATAGATGAAATTAGAAATATTTGAGGTGGTCTTGTTTTGTGTTGTTGTTTTATTGTTCACAACTATGAATTGTATTATTATAAGTAAAGTATAAGTAAAGATAAGGGCTGCACCTTATCCAATCATGAAAGGAGCTAATGAATCAAGGATTATTATTAATATTTTTCTGGAATTTTGAGCTAAAATAAAGCAGACTAAGGCTGCTTCTCCTTTGGGAGCATATAGATGGATATATGTGCACCTCAGTGTTTTTGTTCTGAGGTGGTGGTGAGTCAGTGGCATGTCATATTTTAAAAAGAGACAAGAAAATTACATATTGCATAGTAATCAACAATATTTAATAGAATATATATATTCAATTATAATCTAGCAAATTATGATAAGCCCATTAGTATGAAATGATTTTAATAAACAAGATTTAACATAATCAATGATAAAAAATAAAATACATTATTAATAATTATTGAAATGTAGAAAAGGTCTAAGCATGAACATTGGAAAGGTGAGTATAGTAATTGTGTTCATAGACTTTTTCAAAAGAAAAATCGAAAAATAAATAACTAAAAATGAAAGAAAAATGTAAATGTATTTTGTTGATTTCTGCAAATGAAAAGCCAATGGATGCATTTAGTATCACTTAGCCTTCTTATGAAGTATCCTTAGGGTTCCTCATTATTGGTGCCATTATTAGTAGTGAGTAAAAGAATAATTGTATATCTCAATCCATTACTTAAAAGAATGTAAACCATGGGTCAGTGAGGAGCACATATAATGTATGAAGGAGCATGATTAACCCTATTCTATCCTCTTGAAGTCCACTTAAGTAAAAAAGATCCAGGCCCCTCCTTAGGGGAAAGATCATATAACCCCCATTCTCTAAATACATCTTGCTGTTAACATTTAAATTCAAATTAATTAAAAATAAAAATTCACAACCTTCGTAACACTAGCCACATTTCAAAAGATATGTGGCCAGTGGTTACCATATTGAATAGTGCTAATAGAGAATATTACCATCACTTCAGAAAGTTCCATCAGTGCAAACAGTGCTGAGATAGAAAGTTGCATGTAATAGTATTTAGTTTTGGGTGGTTGATGGCTCTACCATTTTGTGTTTTCTGTAGAAAAAAAAAAAGAGTAGATAATTAAATTACCTTAGAGTTATTTAAAAAGTGAGTAAATAAATTAATTGATAAACACAAGAATTAAAGTATAGTATGGGGCTCATTGTTCAGATTATTTCATGAAATAAGAATTTAAATTCATCCCAAGTTTTCCCACTGAAAGATTATCTGAACTTTTTACTATTTGGTAGGTTATAGAGACACATATCAATAATAGTGCTAGTTCTTTTTGTGTTCGGTGGTAGATTATAAAAGATCTTCTTTATGTTATTTCACACTAAAAATTGAGTAATTCAGTAAATGAAAAGGATACCACTGTTGTATTGATGAAAATGTGACACGAACCAATATTTATGATTAATCTACTAATGCAGAACTAACTTCTACTTAAAAATCTAAAATTATACTTTTCACTCTTTTAAAAATCTACCTTATCTTCCTGGATGAATACTCCACATTGGATTCAGCCATTGTCCAATGAAGAAGATCTTGACTGTTACTTCTGTGGGTAAGAAGTAAATGTAACAGTCAAAGTTTGTTCTTGTTCGTATAGTTTGTCCATATGTGGTCACTAAGGTAGTTAAATAGAACAAAAGGCTATATACACAAAAATAATAATTTAAGAACACTAAGTATGGACCAATAGTGGGAATGTGTTCTGGGGCCAAGGAGTAGAATTAACCCATTTCAGCACAACTGAGATGCATTTTTTTTTAATGGAAGGCATTTAATTAATTTTTGGAACTGTTTGCTATTCCATATTAATTCTAAATCACAGTGGATTGAAGCATTTTCATTTTGATAGAGATCCAGGCTATTAACTGTTTAGAGGAAGGAGCTCTCAGAAGGTAGAGCATACTGTCTGTGTTCTAAATGTGGGATACAATTATGGTTTTTTTTATTACACCATGCTTAAAACTGGACATTAAATGAACATGGCCCAATCATGGGACATTTTTAATGATGGTATTGATACGAAGCAAGGTTCACACGGAGATCTAGTCTGAAAGCTCTGTGAGAAATCAGTCTAGAGACAGATTATAGTTCTATTGAGTATCTTGTTCTGGGAGTTGGTGATTCATAGGAAAATGAAGGTAGAAATGAATGAAGAAAAAGAGTGCCAAGTGTGGACCAATGATGAGATTGGAGGGTGTCTGAATCAAAAATTTTGATTAAAGCCATCTGTGACTCTGAGGTCCATAATTAAAAAGTGGCCTCATTTTTTTCCTCTATGGAAATGGGCTTAGAGCAGAAGTTCAGAATGTTCAAGTATCTTGATTATGGGCATACACACTTTATGGGTATAGATTGAATTCTTGTAAGTAAATCATGCATGAATAAGTTGAAGAAATATAATAATGGGTAAATATAAAGAAATCTGGGCATAGACCAATTATGAGAGTATATAATGAAACAGGGATTGTTACTATACATTTCTGTGGCCCTGAATTCCATTTAAATCTATTTCTAAAGGCTGTTGCCCCTTTTTGGAAGGAGTGGGTAGGCAGATGTATGTAAGACTCATGTAGGTGGTTGTTTGCTGGTTGGTTGTTTTTATTTAGAAAAGGAAAAATTACATAAGTAATTCATTAAATACTTAATTGGAAAAAGAATGAGCATAGTTCATATTAGAATGTGCCTTATGAACAGAGTTTGTTTTTTTTTTTTAAAGATTTTATTTATTTATTTGACAGAGAGAGACAGTGAGAGAGGGAACACAAGCAGGCAGAGTGGGAGAGGGAGAAGCAGGCTCCCCGCTGAACAGAGAGCCCGACGCGGGGCTCGATCCCAGGACCCTGGGATCATGACCTGAGCCGAAGGCAGACGCTTAACGACTGAGCCACCAAGGCGCCCCACAGAGTTATTATTAATCTACCTCTGTTCACCGAATTTTATTAAAAAGGAGAAACAGCTCATTTTTAAAGCTCTGTGGGTACTATAATAGACATGGAGACAAAATAATGTTTTTCAAGTTTCCTATCTAATATTAGTTAATTCCCAGATATTGATGAATTGTTATATTTGAGTAGATTAAGTCCTAACCACGGTTTTTTAAAAAAAGGGGGCAAAACATGGCCCAGTAAGAAGCAAGAATAATGATTAATCTTTGTTTATACTACTGATCGTCTCTTCGTAGCTTGGGTATGGGCATGTGGACACTTGCACATGAAGAGCATTTCTATTCTGGGTTGTTCATGGGTTTACCTGTGTGTGTGTTTTAGTATATTTTAATGTATGATCAAATATTCCCTGAGTCACTCCATAAATAAGTAAATAAAACAATGAACGATTGAATTAATATATGAGGAGGGTCAAGCATAGATCTTGGTGAGAATATGCCATGAATCACAAATTTAAGCTCATCTATTTCTACACAAATTGAGTCCTTCAGAAAAAAAATTGTCTAGGCTCTTGCCTATGTGGGTAGGGGGTCTCCAGACAGATAAGTGCAATAGGCAGAGTTTTTATTTTTGCATGATGAACTCAACAGTATTCATTGTATTATTTAAAATTTATGTTAAATCAAGAAATAAATAACGAATGATGTTCTTGGGTCAGTGATGAAAATGAGAAATGAACCAACTTCCTGATTAATCTTGTACCACACACCTTTTGTCCTTTAAATCACTCTAAATCTAGACTGTTCATTCTTTTGAATATTGGCACTTGACTCCACAGAATGAAGACAATGGTTGATTTAATTAGTCTCTACTGATGAAGATCTTGGCTGTTATCTTTGTGGGTAAGGAACCTAATGACTAAAGTAGATAATAGTCAAAAGATCTTGTCAATTGGGATGAATTTTTCATTAGTGTTCGCTGAATTATTTAAATTAAACTATACACAGATCAATGATATGAATGTGCCATGAAATAAATATTATTGTTAATCCAATTCAGTACAATTGTAGTTGAAAGTAAGATGGAAGACATTTTATTCATTTTCAAAGTAGATGAATAATCCAACTTATTTTTGCAGTGCATTTGACTTAAGCATTTATCCAGTGATAAAATCTAAGGCTGCACTGTTCAGTGTGGTTGCCCCTAGCCACACGTGGCTATTTAAGTGTAAAATAATTAAAGTTCAGTGAATTTTAACTTTAGTTCTTTAGTATGCACTAGCCACATTTCAAGTACTTAGTAGCTACATGTGGCTAATGGTGACCACGTGAGAACACAGTTATGGCACATTCATGTTACGATGCAAAGTGCTACTGGATAGCTCCTCACTGAAGGAGTACATAGAAAGATGGAAGATAGTTGGAATAGGATGCACATGAAGCTGGGATGTTAATTGATCATTCCTTGCTGAGGGCCACTGCAAAAAAACACTTTTGGGAAAAGGTCTAGTTATGGGAAAAGAGCCTATAAATAGACCGTGGTCATACCCAAGAATCTTGTTCTTGGCTTTTTAAAAATTCGTGGATATTGATTTTATTACTGTTGGTGGATCAACGAATGGATCAATAAACAAAGGTATAAATGAAGAAAAAGATTTCTTAACCTGGATCAATGATGAGTACCCTGGGGTGTCTGAAATCAAGGATTTTGATTAAACCCTGTAACTCTGAGGTCCATTACAAATGATTCCTCTCTGTTGTCTCTATGGGAAATGAGCTTATTCTAGGACTTAAAAATACTCAGGAGTTTGTTCTTGGGCTTTTGGGTATTGTATTTTCAGTAAATCAATGCATGAATAAATCAAGAAACAAATAAATGAATAAAGACAAAATGGGTTATTCCTGATCCAAGTAGGAGAGTATGTAATGTAATATATGTAATATAAAAATCATTGTTAATAAATTTCTGAAGCACTGAGTTCCAGTAAAGTAAATTGATTGAAGCTGACCCTTTTGGGTAAAGAGAATTTAGATAAATGGATATAAGAACCCATGTTGTTTTTTTGGGTTGTTGGTTTTTTGTTTTACTAAGAGAAGAGCAAAACATTTACTCAAAATTAATTATTGATTAAATAACTGCATAATTGAGAGAGGGCTTACACATGGACTTATGTTGAGAATGTGTCATATGACCAGTTACTACTAATCCAATGATCTTCGCTATGTTTTAATAAAAAAAAAGAAAACAGGAAAAAAATGATCTGACCTTTTTTTCTATGCCTAAGAAACTATGGACAGGCATTAATATTGTCCTGTTTCTGTGGAGTCACAAATATTAGTGATATTATTATATATATATATAAAAGAATAAGTTAGCATTTTAATCAATTATTTGGATCATGAGGAGCATGTGTTATGAAGCAAGGACAGTGATTAATCCAGTTCTACACAATTGCTCTCCAGATAAAGAAAATAAGTCTTATGCTCTTAAATTTTGGGAATGGTGAATATATTTAGATAGGATTTCTTTTTCTGGTTTGGTGAAGTTTCTTTAAAAAAGCAGAAGATAAATGACTCCATATGTAACTGTGTTCCTAAACATACACATGTAGAGGTGGGATAAGGATGCACAATTGTTGAGAATGTGCTGGACTCTAGGATTCGGATTAGCCTAGTTCTTTCCAAGCAAGATCCATTTAGAAAGAAGATAGAGTGTCACCTGGCTGAGTAGGGGACATAGAAACAGATATGAGTAGTAGTCATGGTTCTTATTCTTTTATCTGGTGCTGGTTTCAGAGGAGTTCGTTATATCAGTTAAATGTAATGGGTGGATCAATCAAGCAATAAATATGCTGTTTTGAGTTTTAATACGTAACAGGCACTAAGGTTTATTTCTAATCATTTATTGTTGACTTGACCTAAAATATCTGAATCTAGGCTGTTCTATATCTATCATCTATATCATTGAATCTATTTGCTTTTATATTTGCTTTATACTCTACAGAATGGATGCATGATGAATTAATTATGGAGTGTAGAAACTTATGTAAGTAACAGTCAAGGTAATTGCTTCTGGTTTGGCAGTCTGTCATGGGTATAACTCCATTATTGAAAGGGAATAAATTGCTACATATACAAATAAAATGAATGAAGGTCATGTGTGAGCCAGTTCAGCACATCCGTGGTCAATTAAAGAGAAAAAAGCAAGACCATTTTATTCATTTTCACAGTTAATTATTCAATTAATTAGTGTAAAATGTATTATTCAATTTCAATTTTGAGTCACAGTTGATTTAAACCTCCCTTTATTTATGGAGACATTATTTAGTCACATTCAAATAGTGAAATGGTGTTAATATGAAGTATTGTATTAATCTCTATAGGAAATATTATGGACAATTACGATATAATCAGTGGTATGTAATTCTGTACAGAAATGTTAGAGATATTCAAGGATCTTGTCTCAAGTTTTCATGACCTTTATGCATTTTATTATCATTAGGGTATTGATGAATTAATCATTAAAACATGTGCACATGATTGAAGATAATGAGGGCCAATCCTGGACCAATGATGATGACTGGTGGAGTATGAGTCATGGATGATGAATACTATGTAACTGGAACTCTGAGGTCCAGCACAGTAAGAAATCTAGTCTATATCTTCTGCTGGAAATGATCCAATGAAGAGTTGTTAGGGATATTTAAAGATCTTCTTAGTTTTTGTGTTCACAGAATTTGATTCTATTATTGTAACTGGATAAATAAAGCAAGAAAATAAAGCATTATCCAATTTTGAAAATATATGGTGAGGCCAGAAATGTTATTAATATATATTAAAAACACTGACTTCCATTAGGAAATAAATGTCCTAAAGGTGTTATCTCTTTGGCTAAGGTTGATATGTACAGTGTAAATCATAGCCTATTTTCTTGTTTGGCCAGGGCCTTGTTCAACGTTCTTTGTTACCTCAAGAAAAATACATAACAATTTAATACATAGTTAAATGACAAATAAAATGAAAGGAGGCATGCAAGGATAAATGGAGAGAATATTTCAAATCTTTTTTATCATCTGTTTTTATACTCTCAGAATGGATGCTCCCAGCCAGTTTAAGCATCTCCATGGTCTTGAGCTCTCTGGTTGCCTAGGAGCCTAGAGATCAATGTGAGTATGGTCTAAGAATTTGTCGTGGTTTTGGTCCTTTTTAAAGGATCCATGAAAGCCAACCATGGCCCAGTGATCAATATGGCATTGTCCTGAACGCTATTGTTGATGATTGCAAAATTAAGAATGATTAATGAGAGATATAATCGATGTAGTAAATGATCCTGTAGGTACCTATTAGAGATACTTAAAAATCTTGTTCTTAAGTTTTTGTGATTCAAAATTACCTAATTACTAATGAAATGAGGAATTAATCAGTAAACAAATGTAGAAATTAGTGGAGAAAAAGAGGGCCAGTTCTGGACCAATGATGACAAAGGGTGGCGTATGAGTCATGGATGATGAATATTACGTGTCTGAAACTCTGAGGTCCAACAAATGAGAAATCTAGGCATTCCTTCTGTTGGAAATAATCCTGTGGACAGATATTAGGAATACAGAAGGATTTTGTTATTTTACTACGTATACCTGGTTTCGATTTCATATCTATAAATGGTCAATGATAGAACCATAAATCAATATATAAATCAGTAAATATAAAAAGATGAAGCATTGTTAAACTAAAAAAATGTGGTGAGGCAAGAAATACTATTAATATTAATTGAAATCACAGAAGTCCATTAAGAATTAAATGGATCAACTGTTACCTCTGTGCAGGGATCATACAGGCACTGATTAATAATAGTCACTTTGGTTGTCACAGACCAGTCTCATGGGCGAATTTGTTCATTTTGTTAAGAGGAAACTAAAAAAATATTATGAAAAATTAATAAATAAACAAATGGGCGAGTAAATGAAATGTGAAAGCAAGGGTAAATGGGGAGAATGTCTCAATTTTTTAAATAATCTCTTCTGCTTTGTACTCCTCAGAATGGATGCACTTGAGCTGATTCCCTGTGGTTGGCTCCATTGTTAGGAACACAGACACGAATGTGAGTAATAGTTATGATGCTCTTAGTTTGAATGGTTATTTTTTAAAAAGAATATTCAGTGTTTTAAGAAGATGTATTTTGTATAAGCAAAGAAAGCCAACTGTGGCCCAATGAGAAATATGCTACTATATGAAAAATTGAGGATAATTAATATAAGAAATATACTAAAGTGGTAAATGATTGTATAGGCAGATGTAGGGATATTTAGGGCCTTTATTCTTGTTTTTTTTTTTAAATCATAGGTATTTGTTTTATTATTATCAGGGAATTGGTAAATTAATTCATAAACAAATATTGATGAAAGTGAAGAATAAGAGGCTCAAGCTTGGATCAATGATGATGGCTGGTGGCGTATGAATCATGCATAATGAATGATACGTGTCTGGAACTCTGAGGTCCAACAAAGAAAATCTAGTTTACTGCCTCTATTGGAAATGGCCCTATAGACAGATGTTAAGAATATATAAGGACCATGTTCTTGGTCTTTTTGTTCATGGATTTTGATTCTGTTATCATAATTGATATATTAAAATTATAAACAATTAATAAAAAATATAAATATGAATAAGTAAAACATTGTTCAATCATGCAAATGTGTCATGACATAAGAGAATCTATTAATAGATGTTAAAAAACATTGAGTCAATTAAGAAAGACATGGTTCAAAAGTGTGACTTCTTTGGCTAATGATTATATAGAAAGTACACGTAATGATCATTGTTCCTGTTCTGGCTCAGTGACAAATTTGATTTTCATTTTCTTAAGGGAAATAATAATAAATATAACCCCCAAATAATAAATACCTAAATTACTGACTAAACAAAAGGTGAAATGGAAGGATTAATGGAGAGATAATCTCTCTCTCTTTTTTTTTCATCTTCTCTGCTCTGTACTTCTCAGAGTGGCCACACCAAGCTGATTAAAGCATCTTCCGTGATTATGAGCTCTATATGTAGGAGATGGAGACCAGTGTGAGTACAAACTTCTTATCTTATTTTGGTGGTTTGTTTAGGAGTTAGGTATAATATTAAGAAATACTTAAATTTAATAAAAAAAGGCCAACCATGGTCCCATGATAAATATAGAATTGACATGAAACATTATATTGATTAACTACTATTTGCAACATTGTAGATGATTAATGAAATACATCTTCAAGGAGGCAATGATTCTATGGTCAGATGTTAGGGATGCTTAAGGGTCTTATTTTCAAGTGTTTTTGATTCATAGATGTTTATTTTATAGTCATTGATTTACTGATAAGTTAATCAGTAAAGAAATGTAGAAGTGAGTGAAGAAAAAGGTCCAGTGTTGAACCGATGATGATGGCTGGTGGCGTATGAGTCATGGATGATGAATACTATGTGTCGGGAACTCTGAGGTCCAACACAACAAGAAATCTAGTCTTTTTTCTCTGTTGGAAATGACCATAGTGATATTAATAACATACGAGGATCAAGTTCTTGGTCTTTGTGTTCATGGATTTTGATTCTTTTAGTATAAAGAAATGAAAGAATCAATAATCAAATATAAATAAATATGACTAAGTTAAGGATTGTAAATTATGAAAATTAATAAATAGCTAAGTGGATGAGTAAATGAAATGTGGAAAACAAAGACAATGAAGATAAGGTCTAATTTTTTTTTTTTTTTTAATATCACCTTCTGTATTTTCCACTTCTCAGAAAGGATGCCCTGGAGCTGATTTCAGGATTCTATCATGGTCACAAGATGTCTGCTTGTCTATGTGTTTGGTGCATTGAAGGGTGAGTTTTTATGGGTATACACTCTGTATTTGAAAAGTATAAAATATAATAAAAGAAAGCCACCCATGGTCCATTGATAAATATGGATTTGGTATTACATTGCATTACATTGATTAGTCCCTGTATGAGACTTTAAGGGTGATTAATCAATGAAATATATTGATGTAGTAAATGATTCTATGGACAGATGTGGGACCATTCAAGGCCTATATTTTAGGTTTTTTTTTTTTTGCTTCATAGGTATTTATTTTATTACTATCAGATAAATTGATGAATTAATAAAGGTAGATGAGAGTGAGGAAAAAAAGGCCAAGGGTGGACCAATGATGATGGCTGGTGTCGTATGAATCATGGTTGATGAACAGGTCTGGAACTCTGAGGTCCAACATAAAAAAAATCTAGTTTATTGCCTCTGTTGGAAATGATCCTATAGACAGATTTAGAATTTCACAGGGATCTTGTTCTGGGGTCTTTGTGTTCATGAATTTTGATTCTATTACAATAAGTGAATCAATAAAAGAAAAAATGTAGTAAGGCAAGAGTGAGAGAGAAATAGTTCATGGGTATTACCTCTACATAAGAATGTTGTTATAGATAATATAAACAATGGCCAGTATTCTTGTTCTGGATTAGTGGAGAGTTCAATGTTTGTTTTTCTTAAGAAAAAGTAAAATGCATATTACCCTGAATTAATATTACTGTGTAATGAAATGTAGTGAAAGGATCAATAGAGAATATGTCTCATTAATGTTATTATCTATTCTGCTTTTTACTTTTTAGAATGCACACACCCAAGGTGGTTTAAGTAGTATGCCTTGGCCAGTGATCTCTACATTTGCCTGTAGGAACATGGAACCAACGTGAGTAATAGTCAATGTTTTCACCTCACTTTGGGTGATTTCTTTAGGGGATTCTATTTAGTATTTAAAAACAAATATTCAGTGAAACAGAAAAGACCAACCATGATCCAGTCATGAAATTGGAAATGTATGAAACATGATGTTCATTAATCTACCTTTAAAACATTGAGGATGATTAATGGGAGGTATTTCAATGAGGCAATGATTCTAAAGAAAAATGATAGGGATACTGAAGGCCCTTGTCCTTGGGCTTTTTTGATTCATAGGTATTTATTTAATTACCATAGTGAGTTGATGAATTGATCCTTAAAAAATGTATATGAGAATAAAGAAAAGGAGGCCTGTGCATGGACCAATGATGACAGCTGGTGGCGTATGAGTCATATACGATGAATGCTACGTGTCTGGAAGTCTGAGGTCCAACACAATGATCCTGTGGATCAATGTTAGGATTATACAAGAATATTGTTCTAGTAATCATGGATTCATGAATTTCTTTCTTTTTTTTTAAAAGATTTTATTTATTTATTTGACAGACAGAGACATAGCGAGCGAGGGAACACAAGCAGGGGGAGTGGGAGAGGGAGAAGCAGACTTCCCACAGAGCAGGCAGCCCGATGCGGGGCTCGATCCCAGGACCCCGGGATCATGAGCTGAGCTGAAGGCAGACACTTAACGACTGAGCCACCCAGGCACCCCGGATTCATGAATTTCTATGTTATTTATATATATGAATGGATCACTGATAGGGCCAATAAATAAATATATAATTAAATAAAACCATGGAAGAAGCCTTGCCAACTATGAATATATATGTGGTGAGGCAAGAACTATTAATATAAACTAAAGAAACCAATGCAGGTTAAGAGATAAATGGACCAAGAGTGTTCCCTATTTTTCTAAGGAACATAACATTACATTTATATTTATGCTTATATATGTGTATAAATTATGAAAAATAATAAGGACCTTTATGATTGGGTAAATGAAATGAGGAAAACAAGGACCATTTTAGAGAAGGCCTCAATTTTTTTTTTTTAATCACCAGTTCTGCTCTGTACTCCTCAGAATGGGTGCATGACTTCAGTGCGTTGAAGCATCTTCCATGGTCATGAGCTCTGTGGTTGCCTCTTGGTGTAATGAGCACAGAGACCAATGTGAGTAATAGTTTCATGTCTGCATTGGAGAATTTATTTTCAGTATTCACTATATTATTAAAAGTGTGAAATATAATAAGAAATGCCAACCATCAGGAATGATAAATATGGGATTGGTCTGCTGCATTGTATGTATTAATCCATATATGGAACTTTGATGATAATTAATGAAAGAGATATATCAATGTGGCAGATAATCCTATAGGCAGATATAGAATATTCACGGTTCTTATTTGGGTTTTTGTGAACCATGAAGTTTTAGGAATTAATATTAGTGAATTCATGTATTGGTCAGTGAACTTATACAGATGCGAATGAAGAGAAAAGAGGTCCAGATTTGGACCAATGATGACAGTTGGTGGCGTATGAGTCATAGGTGATGAATATTACATGTCTGAAACTCTGAGGTTCAACAAAAAAAGAAAGCAAATCTGTTGCCTCTGTTTGACATGATATTATAGACAAGTATTAGGAAAATAAAAGAATAATTCTCTTGTTTTGTGTTTATGAGTTTTGATTTTAATGTAAAAAATGGCCTAAAGAGATAATCAGTGTACAAGTACAAATAAGATAGAGTGAAATATGTTTGCTTTTAGTTTATGTGGTGAGGTGATAAAAGCTATTAACATATATTGAAAATGCTGCAATTCATTAAGAAATGTAAATGGTTCACATGTCTTACTCTTTGGCTGAGAATGATACATAGACAATAACAGCCAAAGTTCTTATTTTATGTTAGTGTTAGGTTTGCTATTGTTTGTTTTATTTTGAGAAAAATAATAAATATGATCCCAATTCACTGTATTCCCAAATGACTACCTGAAGATGGAATGTATGAATCAATAATCTCTCAGCCTGTTATTGTCTGTTCTGCTTTGTATTCCTCAGAATGGATAAACTTGAACTTACATAGTCATTTGGCCGTGATCAGGTGCTAATGGATGCCCCTGTGTGTAAGAGCATGGAGAACAATGTGAGTGACAGTCAGATTCTTCTGGTTTAGAATTTTTGTATAGGATATTCAGTATCATATTAGAAATTCAAGGAATTCTAAACATAGCTCAATGGTAAATATGGTGTTGACATGAAACATTATGATAACTAATCAATATGTTCCCAATGAGCATCATTAGGCAAATAAGTATATTCAGTGAGGCAAAAGATTCTATAGACAGTTGTTAGGGATACTTAAGGATCTTGTCCTTGAGTTTTGTGATTCACAGATACTTATTCTATTATATCAGTGACTTGATAAATTGACAATAAGCAAATGTAAACGAGAATGAAGAAAAGGAGATCTGAGTGTGGACCAATGATGACAGCTGGTGGCGTATGAGTCATATACAATGAATGCTATGTGTCTGGAAGTCTGAGGTCCATCCAACACAAAGATACCTAGTCTAGTCCCTCTGTTCAAAGTGTTCCTATAGACAGAGGTCAGGAATATACAAGGAACTTGTTCTTATTCTTTGTGATAATGAATTTTTAGAAATATTATAAAAGTATCAATGGCAAAATAAATGTATAAATGAATAAAGATGAAGAGGGTTAAGTATTGTTCATAATTAAAATACGTAGTAAGGAGAAATAATATGTTAGAATGGATAATAAATGGATCAAGTGCATTTTACCTTTTTGACTAAGGATGATATAGACAGTGATCAGTCATAGTTAATTATTGAGTCATGGGAATAAAAGGGTACAAATTAAGGAATATAGTCAATGATATTGTAATAGCATATTGAGCATAGCATAATGTATAGCGAAGTTGGATCATGTGTTGTGCACCTGAAACTAATGTAGCATTGTGTGTCAACTATACTCACAAATTTTGAAAAAATTTTTAAATGTAAATTCAATTTAATTAATGTATAGTGTATTATTAGTTTCAGAGGTAGAATTTCGTGATTCATCAGTTGCACATAACAACATGTGCTTATTACTTCAAGTGCCCTCAATGCCCATCACCCAGTTACCCCATCACCCCACCCAACTACCCTTCAGCAACCCTCAGCTTGTTTCCTGTAAAGAGTCTCTTATGGTTTATCTCCCTCTCTGTTTTCATCTTATTTTCTTTTTCCTTTGCCTATGTTTATCTGTTTTTTCTTAAATTCCACATATGAGTGAAATCATATGGTACATGTTTTTCTCTGACTGACTTATTTTGTTTAGCATAATACCCTCTAGTTCCATCCACATTGTTGCAAACGGCAGGATTTCATTCTTTTTGATGGCTGAGTGATATTCCATTGTATATATATATAT